GAAATGGGGCCCAAAAACTAAAAAAAAAAAAAAAGTTACAATTGCAAAAAAATGTTTTGATATTGCATGCATATAGGATGACAAGGTTATCAATTGAGAACAAACAATTTAAAGACATCAATACCACAGATGTGATAATGATTTTTTTTGTTGCAAAAGTCTTTATCTCTGGTGAAGTGTGTGTGTTTAGGGCATGGGGGTACTAAAACTTTGCCCAGGGCCACCAGGAGTGTAGGTACGGCGCTGGTCACAAGGCTGATGTGTTCCAGTGACATTAACTTGATCTTGCCAGTAAAGCTGTCAGCTAGGGTTGTACTCTCTAGCCAGCATAGTTCTTCCAGTAACCCATCCCTCCCTGACTTTGATATAGTATGCCCTGTGATCTGGTAAGCCCTCTGTGAAATCTGTCAGTAGGAGTTTAACTCTTGGTAGGTCTACCCAAGCACAACAGGTCAAAGCGCAGAGCTCAGACCTGGCTCTCCAGTTCACTGGCTTTCAAGGTTGCGGGTTGAACCACAGACCAAAAGGCTATCCTCAGAAGAATGTTGCACAAACACAGCAAGGTTGCTATTCCAGCAGACAGCATAATGATCAGGGATAGCATAGCCTTGCTAATGCCCCAGGTGGCATCTAACAGCCCAGGACAGATTCAGATTCAAAAGAACCGCTCAAAAATGTCCAGACAAATCAGTTTTCCATTGTTAAATGCTGACTCAATGGAATCAATATGTTCCTATGGAGCACGTCATTGACGCTTCTGACAGAGATCAGACATGGTGGCTGGCCAGCTGACCAACCTGTTTTCCTTTCAGCATTCGTGGCTCCCAGGGTCCCAGGATACTGGAACTGAACATTTCTCTAGGACTCTGTACCACAAGTGTCAAACTCCCTAGCAGCCTATCAAGACAGCTGACCTGGCAGCCAGCTGCCGCTCCGGAAATTTTCAAAATATTCTATCTGTATTTAACCAGAATGGTCTTTTCCAAAGATTTCCATTTTATGTCGTTTCATAGCTATGACTTTGCATTTCTATTTGGAATTTGCAAATGTGAAACAAATATTCTGTGGGGTGGCAATTCAAACTCCCATCAAATTCTCTATGAACAATTTAAATGGTACCTTAACTATATCACTGCTCATCGAGGCACATTAGAAATGAAAGAAAGAATTGTATTGTGCTTCTCTACCCAGAAGTTTCCAAAGAGCTTCAAGGAATCCCGCAAAATATTGGTAGAAGTTGGAAGACGTTCAAATTAAGGTATGTAACTTTTAACAACACATAGGGATCAGCAGATTTTATTTGTTTGCTTTCAAAAGTTTGAGAAACTCTTCTTTTGGGAGGACACATCAATAGTTACGGAGAAAAAAACTATAGTTTTCATACTGTAGTATTAAGTCATGCTCTTGGTTCTGTTTCTGACTTAACAACTGATCTGCTATGTGACCACAAGCAAATAATTTTACTGCTCAGGAAAAAATCATACAATCTTTAGGCAAAATAGAACTAAAATCAAGGTCTGCATGGACTTCAGTTTCAAATATATTATACATAATAATAAAATAATGCCATTTCCTTTCCTTTTTTCCCCTTCATATCATGGTAGTCTTTTCTTTGAGGAATGAGGCTGAACATGGTTCATTCTGGAGATGGGTGCAGATCAAAACTCCAGATCTGAATACCCTGAACACCTCATCCTCAAAACCTCTGTAGCTGAACCTATTTTTGTTCCTTCTTTCCTCTGCCTTTTGTGGTTCTCGAAACTCACCAACTTATAACACTGTCATTTGTTTACCTCCCAGGCCTAGAAGATCTGCTGTGCCAGAGACCTCATGACTCACAGGGCTCCAAAATGCCTGAGCTTAGCAGCATGCCTACTGAACTGAGACAAATGAGAAGAGCAGGTCAGTCTGACGAGCTAATCAGTACTCTCCTCTAGGAAAGATTACACTTACAGGACATACTCCACAAACCGCAGAAAGTTCATGGAATAGAGCCAAGACTGAGATATAAACCCAAACACAATCCACATCCCTTCAGTCATACAGGTCCTCAGACATAGCCTGTCCTTTGACCTGTTGTAAAGAACCTTTGAAAGTACAATTCTCCACCCTACCTACTGTACCGTTTTTATGGGACGATTTCTTATCCAGTCACCCGGTGCCATGCATTTCTTCCAAGCACTGCAAAACTGCAGCTACTGAAAAATCTTCAAATGCCCAACCTAATCTTTCTGCGTGGTCCTTTAGGTCCTCACAGCTTTCTCGTTTGGACCCTTAATAACTAGATTAGCGTATTTCTTGGCCTCGGCATTAACCCTTATATGAACCATCACATCAGCTCAGAGAGCTTTGGAGTTGGGAGTTGAGTGTTCCAGTAGAAAGAGAAAGTAAATTGTGGACTTACAAGATATTTATTCGTTTCTTAGAATAAGAGTATCCAATTCTCTTGAACAGGCTTGGATAGGAGCATGGCATAAATAGCCAAGATATCTTTTAAATTACAAAAAATAATTATCCAAAGCTGTCTTGTAAGTATCAGAAATAGATCAGCTCAGCTGAATGCCAGCCCACATGACTAATTCTGATAAAGTTTGTCTTTTTGTGCAATTTCAGTAATTTGGGAAGGACAAATTATTAATGGATTAGGATCTCCTCTTCCATGGCTCATGCAGATCCACTATTCAGGCAGCTTTGATCCAAGCAGCAGTGAGGATCTGACCCATTTCTAAGGAATCAGCAGCTCTGTCCCTTCTCTAAGAAGAACAACTGGAAGGGAAGATTCTTCTTCTTCCTTCTATCTTGTATAGAAAACTTAGTTCTATGTTTCAACTTAAGGATTTTGAAGGTTGAAATTTTGGTTTTAGGCATCAAATGAGGCTTTTGGTTCCATTCTTCTCTGACGTTTGTCCCTGTAATATTTGCATAGGAATAGATAGGACATATTTGTGGATGAATACAGAAGTGCTAGGACTGATTTTTGCAGAAAAATGGGTATGGAGTTCTTGTCTGCAATATGCCGTGCCAGTGAGTCTCTCCTAGCATTGTTCCCCAGTTTCATGAGTACCAAATTCATAGATTTAAAGATGAAAAAGTAAACTATGATTTGCAGCATGGGTGTATATATCTTTGTGTGTATATACATATGTATACATGGTGTGGCAGGTCCTGGGTTATATTGTCAACTGAAGTAAAGCGTCCTGGATCCATCTACTGTAATGGAACCATGCCAACTTACTTACTGCAGCTGAGAATCTCCTTATTTTTTTTCAAGGTTTTGTGTTAAAATAAATGACCAAATTCTGTTTGTGTGTCACTAGTGTAAGTGGGAATAACTTTACAAAATCCATGGAGTCACGCTGGATGTATGCTATTCTCAGAGCAGAATTTAGTCCAAACTCTTAATGAGATATAATAACTACTGCATTTAACTTCTTTATTCTTCCTTTTTTTCTAAATATTATATACTTATAGAAATTCTTGACTAAATCTTTCTCTTCAGTCCTCAGTGCCATGTTTTGTGTAAATAGTTTATTTGATTTGACACCCACTTCACCAAAGGTTGTCCCTTCTGCTCTGTCTATCACGGTTGGTGTCAAGAAAAGAGAAAGAAAAATTGCACAGCTGGCAATACAGTAAACGCAAAAATATACAAAAATGTACCAGAGGGAATAGTCATCAACATAAAGTGAACAAGCACCCAGACTATTGATTACATGCTGCTCACAGAACACTAGGCATTTCTGCCAACTTCTTTCCACTCATACGCTGAGCTGCAGACAGCATGTTGTACTTTGCATCATCAGTTTTGATGAATAATGCACTGATAAACACTGCAGCCAATATTCTGGAGGAGCTGAGAAGCCAGATGTCATCTGGACCTCCAATAGTTTTAACCCTGGGTCTTTGACAGTCACTGAAATAAACACCAGACATGCACTGCAGAATGGGCAATTCCTAAATGCGAGGTTATGTGCAATATTATACTATATTTTACTTGAAAACATATGAAAAATGAATGGGTGTTATAATTCTTTCACAAATAACTTTAAGTGATGCTGAGATGTAAGAAACCACAGCGGCTGCCACTGCAGATATAACTTACACCAAGGAGTGCTATAACACTCTGAAACAAAAGAGAAATTTCACCAGCTGTAAAGGCACAGTCCTGCAAGGGGCTTGGGGATTCTCATTTCCCTTTAACAGAATGGAAGGGAAGGTGTGCTCAGCACTTCCCAGAATTAGGACCCTAAGGGGATATTCCATTTGGAAACCTGGTTAGGTTCTTCCTACGGCAAACTTTTTAATGGCTATTAGTATGGCAAATTAGCCTCTTACCTTGGCTAAACAACAGGTCATTACTGCTCAATAGTACAATGCAGACTAGCATTTCTATAGGCCTTTCTATACACTGTTTTTGGACTCAAAATATATCAGACCTAACAATAAACATATAAGGCTCATTTTTTTCAAACAATCTGTGTATACGCTGCCTGAGACTATCTATTGAAGCAATATGTGCTTCGGGGATCTCAAGAACAGTGATTGTGCAAGTTTCAAAATGAGCATATGAGGTATCAGTCTTACAGGCCCAGTGCTGCCTCGTAAAATCTATCATGAATGAACAGTAGCGTCAGCACAAGAGGGGCTGGTGATGAACTTTCTTTGCAAATTCCATGCAACAACACAAGCTTACTGTGACATCCTTACCACTTCCTCTCCTGTCAACTAGAACAATCAGTGGTGTATCCCCTGGCACCTCTAAACCAATGATGGCGGATATCAGCGAGGGTATGACAGGGATAGATCATTCTGGATAAACCCTGTTCATATCCTCTCCCTAATGTATGTCAGAGACAGGATGTTGGGCAAGGCGGACCATTGGTCTGACCTAGTATGGCACTTCTTATGTTCTTAACCAATTTGCTCAACGTTTTATAGACAAGTGCTCTCAATGTCAACAAAAGGGAATGCAATGGTAATTCACTACAATTAAGAGCCCAAACTTGCCTTAAAATACATGGGTTAAACTATCTAGAAAGTTAATGAGAGTTGTCCCTGTTTGTCTGCATTCAGAAACTGAACATCTAATCTTCTAATAAGTGTAAATACTTAAGTTGAAAGCCATACATGTCTGAATCTCCTAGTCAGTGATAACTGATGCTTTTGCAAGCACTAAGGCAGAGTTCTGTACCTTCTACACATGTGGAACCTACAAGAGTGTCTTGGATTTTTCAAGTTGGAAATGGATAAAATGGGCCCCTATTTTGCAACTGCTGGTTCCCAAAAGTATATCATCTCTATAATCACTGATGATGTTGCACATTTTAAGAGTATAAAGGTATATTGTGAATCTCTAACCCCCACCCAAAATTAAATAATCTGTCAAAAATTCTCAATCCCTGAAAGACAGAATTATTGTTTAAAAAAAGCAAGAAATACTATCAACTACTCTTAGACAGGGACAGCCCACCTAGGAGTAAAGCACTTTTGGAGAAGCAGTACTTAGCTTCCCTCAGCACTTTGTGACCATATCATCTTCTCCATCTTATTAAATGGAAGTGGAAGCCCAGATGAGTCTCACTTTGGAAAAGGATGAGAGCCAAGGGGTTATATTTTAACTGAACATTTTGTTCAAAGAAGAACTTTTTAAGTAAAAAAGACACAGTAGTTTCTTAAAGCTGCTTAAAGCTGTTTATGCCTAATAGATTGGACAAATTGTTCAAGAACAATTTCTCTGTATGAAAATATGGTCCCATAAGGCTGTCAGGGTCAGTAAGACCCCTCATGGTTTGCTTGACAAGTGCAGCTAGTTCACCCAGCTAATTTTCTAGGAAAACATTTGGATAAAAGAATATACAAGATTTACATATTTGAGGCAGCTCCTCCCTTTGTCTATTTTCTCCACTTTCTTTTGGCATGACCATTCTTTGCATACTTGGCAAGTGGCCTAAGATGTGTGCTTATTCTAATGCTAACTGGGGAAAACAAACATCAGATAATATGAGTCTTACAAAGCTATTTTTGCATTTAATTTATCAAAAACCTGACAGATGCAGAGCACTAATGATATTGGTATAAAACAGTCAGAGAGAAACTGACATGGACCTGGAAAAAGTAGTTAAAACAAAATAGTAATGCTCAGGAAATTCATATATAGATAAGAGTTAGCCTGTAAAAAGACAGAGGCAGTGACTATAATGGAATTTCTATTATTTTGACATTGATGGGAATAGCAATAGTGGAGTCATTAAGACTGGATGCATGTTTTCAAGTATGGTACCAAACTGTTTCTTCAGCTTGAGGAGCAATCAACAAGACCAGGAGCTATTCTGGACTTAATCCAAGGAAATGAAACTAGGTGAAATGAGTAATATGGAAGATGATAAACCCTTAGGGCAAAGTTATAATATCACCAAATTGAAAATACTTCTGAGAATATTTGTGAATGGTTTTAGAAGTACATCAGTGCCAAGAAAGAGTTGAAGAAAGTGGATTGTAATCAACTATTTGTGGGCTATAGTAGAAAAGTGTATAGTATTTAAGAAATGGCAAGATTGATTTTTATTAATTTTTCTATAATCACAGGCAAAATGATAACAGAAGAAAGATGAAGCTCTCAAAAAGATATAATAAAGGTATCAAAATGCTCTCCTTATTTAAAAGGCCAGGCAGCCTCAAAAATGGGGAGGTTTGACAGATTTAAAATGAATGAGAACAGCATCATGAGAATACCAACAGTGAATAATATCCATTAAATATTTCAATCAAGATTGAAGCCAAGTTTCTCAAGTGTATGCATGCAATGTAAATAGCAAAGGAAGAAAAGGAAGATGGTAATGAAACAAAGAACACCCTTTCCTATCTGCCTTCACAGATTAAGAAACCAGTGTTCAAATGTTTATCCAGCCTTGAGGTCCCACTGGTTTCAATGGGGCTGGTCACATAAGGACTATTTCGACTAGTCTGGTTTATGTTCTGTGGGACATTACATCAGTGGTCAGTACCCAGGGCAACAACATCTTAACCAGTGTGAGTTGACCATCTTATCATAAGTAATAGAATACTTAGAAATGACCTGATGAGAGATGAAGTATGAGCTCCACTGTGGCCATATTTTGTATGCTATAGCAATCTGGAAGTGGAGAAAGAGGTCTTGCTGCATATGAACTATTCAGACTTTTAATTGCAATTATTACTTTTGAGCTGACAGCTGACACAAACCTTCCTACTCCAAAGTGCTGTGAATTGCGATCCCAAAAAAGGCACATAAAACCCCAGTTACATTCTACTTTATTATTGGTAGAATAGCCAAAATAAACATAGGACTAAATTCTCCTGTGACCAGTGCAAGAAAAGGGGCCAAAAATACTGCCTAGTGTATCCTCCATAAAGGATGGGATTTTTGCCAGTGAAATCAAGACTCCTTATGGTAGGCAAGGGAAATATGATTAGGAAAGGACTTTGGTTCTTCTTTGAGAAGACACAATGTGCCCTTGGTTAGACTTTGCTGCTGACTGCGGCATGCACTCCAGCCAGATGGGGAAAGGCTAAACACGCCTGACTAGCCAGCAGCTCATGCCCCTTTAGGAATGTTTTATTTAGTTGGCAGTCTCTTTTAATGCTTTGTTGAGCATTATGGCTGAGATTGTTTTTCTGTAAGGAAAATAAGTTCTTCTTCTCTATCCCAAACCTACTTCCCTCAGCCCCATCTCTGAACAGCACATACCACAGGGGTGAGCAAAATACGGCCTGCAGGATAGATTTGACATGCCAAGG